AAAGACTCTTCTATTCGTGAAACTAAAACGGAAACTTCTAAAACTCAAGATCCACGAGACATTTTTGAAATTTTAAATAAACACTTTACCATGGTAGGTGCTAAATTGGCAGCTAATTTAGACGCAAGTTCTAAAAACTTGAATCACATATCTATTAAAGTAGTAAACAAACTTAAAGAAATATTAATCTTGAGATAGAGTGCATTAAGTAAAAGCGTGAAACTTTACGAATACAAAATTGTACTAGAGTGACCACAGTAAATCCGTGAAACACTAATTACTAAATAGTACAAAATAGTGCTATGAAATTGTGCTATTTCGTATTACTAAAGTTTCACCGGTTTAGAGTGCTCACACTAAATCCGTGAAGCAAATACTAATTTTTAGCACTAAATAGTGATAATTAAACAATAGAAAACAAAGGATTCTGTATGAAATAGTACTAATTAGTACTATTCAATGTTCACGGTTTTAGTGCGTGCACTCTACTGTGGTCACTCTATTTTGTACAAATTAGTAATTATAAATTTAGTGTGCTCATACAATCACTGAACCACGATTGTGCGAATAATCACGTCAAGCACAGTCGAGCGCGTTTTAGAAACGCTTCTTGTGTACAAAAACCAATAAAACGACTAGGTGTGATTGCGTTTTTGATATTTGTAAGGTGAGCTACAATAGAGTAAGTAACACTTGTTTAGTGTGCCATACCATTTCACTTGCAYATTGTGGTTATCTTAGCTTTAGATGTGTCTAGCTTGTGTATTGATTTTGCAGCAGTGCGAAGGAATAAAAACTTTAAAACCATTTTACTTGGCATATTGTGTTATTTTTTTATTCGAAGCACGTGCGCATTTGTTCTTCACGCTTCAACCAATTTTTAACAAAATAGTACAAAATTGTTCTATTTATCAATTAGCGTTTCACGCTTTTACTAAAAGCACTCTAAGACTTTTGAACGGGTAGTTTATAATCAGTTGTAAACTTATATAAAAGGTAATAACATTTTTGATGAACATCAATCAGGCTTCCGCTCACTCCATTCTATTGTAACTTCTTTGTTAGATGCTACGAATGATTGGTTTAATAATATCGATAATGGACTATTGAATTTGAGTTGTTTATCTTGACTTAGCCAAGGCATTCGACACTGTTGATATTCTATTCTATTACAAAAACTCACGCTTTATGGAATTGATTTTGCTACTTTTCATTTATTTCAATCATATCTTAGTCATAGATTCCAATACTGTTATGCAAAAGGTTTTCTTTCGAAACCCTCCGAAATAAATTGTGGAGTTCCACAAGGGTCTATCCTGGGACCATTATTATTTCTTATTTATATAAATGACATGCCTAAAGTTTTGCAATATTGTGTTCCAAGGATGTTTGCAGATGACACTAATATTACTACGTCTTGCAAAAACACCTGTCAATTGCATTATGCTCCAAAAATAAGAAATTAAGAAATAAGAAGGATTCCGGCAAACTTTGGAAAGTCTGTAATGGTACCAATTGGAACCAGTCAAAATGAATCTCTCGATATTGACTGTGAGAACATCACATGTGTCGTGAAGTCGGGGAGACTATGGTTAGAGTTTCCACGGGATCTTTATTGACGCTCACAAGTACTAGTAGTTACAAGACTGTTTCACGACTAACGAATCTCTATCTCTCTATCTGAAACTAACCTATATTTATAGAAGAAATTAGCATAATTGTAGAATTAATTACAAAAACTGGTTTGAGTCTGGTTTCCAGTGAAAGTACTGAGTTGCAGGAATAAATTAGAATATTGGCCTTATTGACCTAAGAACCTTAATCTTAAAA